CATTTACTTTTAAAGTTGTTATTTGCAGTAGTATGAACCAAGACAAATAAAATAAAACTTTGAAGAAAACCCTTGTCTTGAAATAGAGCTAGTGGTTCCCAGCAAAAAGGAATTTATAACCTTAGTTGTTAAACAGGAAATTGGTGAAGGCTTTGATTGATAAACAAGGCTGGTAAAATTATCAGGTGGCCAATAACCTTGATTAAATGGTTTGAGAATTGTAATAAAAAGCATCTTTTGAGTGGAGCCAAATTGTAAAAAAAAGCATGCCTGAGCAGAGCCGCTGAGCTGCTGTTTTGCGGGGCTCTGGCAGAGCACGCCCAGTGGGTGGGGCAAGCGCTGTGATGTAGCGCGCAGGAGCGGGCTCAGACTGCCCCCGGAAATGTGTAAGGTGGCAGCGGCGATGACGGCGCATGGGGGAGGGAGGGGCTGGGACGGCGCATGGGGGAGGGGCTGGGAGGCGGCCCAAGGTAGTGCGCAAAGCAGGAACTGCTTGCAGGGCGCGAGGATTAGAAAGCCAATTTAGGAACACAGCTGGGTTTTGATTAGCTTCCTGGACCTGTTTTAAAAGTTTGTTATAGTTAGTATGCTTGACCTGCTCTGGCACAGCTATAGGCCTAGAGTCATTATCAGCGGTGTTTACCTGTCTGTGATCAGCTTCTTTTTGAGCTGCTTGCCACAGCTGATTCCGTTCTTGTGAGCTGAGAGCGGTATTTAGAATCCTATAAACATCCTTAAAATGTAAATCATAACAATTAGTAATGAATTTAAATTGCCTGATATAATTCTGTGGGTCAACAGAAAAGCTATCTAATTTATGGACAGTCTGGGATAGATCAGAAAGGGAAAAAGGCACATGGATGTTAACAAGCTCCTTGGGGCCAGCTGGCTCCCGAAGCGGTAGCAGAGCCTGAGGAGATTCCGGAGCAGAGGGCCACTGAGCAGCCATCCTTCCGGTAGGTGCATGTGAGCAATCATCTGTAGAACGGCTACAGAGCTGCTGCCGGTCACCCTGGGAAACATGAGCAGATGGCGTCTCACTGTGTGCCTTGCAGTGAGAGGACTGCTGTCGGCAGAAAAATGAAGCATCATGTGCACTGCAACAGGGCGGATGTTGTAGTTCACAAGAGGAGCCACAAGGAGACGCCTGTTGACAGTGAGGGCCCTGGAAACATGGTGGCGCCCTGTCACGTGACCCAAAACATGGCGGCGCCTGGGAACATGGCGGTGCCCTGTCACGTGGCCAGAAACATGGCGGCACCCTGTCGCCATGTTGCCCTCCTGAACATGGCGGCGCCATGCCACGTGGCAGAGGGTTGCAACATGGCGACTGTTCCCCGCGCAAGCTGGAACAATCACGTGACCTGCTGGAAGGACATAGCGACCGAGACCTAGTATGGTGGGCGGGCGGTGAGAATGCTGTAGGGGATACAGAATTCTCAGGAGAGGAAGTCGGAGACTGCGAGGAAGCGCTAACAGAGGGATTAAAGCTGCTGGGAGAGTTATGGGTCCTGGAAGGCAGAGAGGGAGACGATCGCACAGCGGGAGGTATCTGCGATGGAGAGGGATTAGAGCTGCTGGGAGAATCAGGCATAGGGGGAGGAGAGCGCGGTCCGGCGGGAGGTAACGGCAGGGAACAAGTTTGGTGGTAGGCAGGCGGTGGCCGGGAAAACAACGGAGGGCAGGACAGAAAAGTTTGCAGCGCGGTAGAGTTAGCTAAAAGTATCTCAGTGGGAGCACAAGACTTAATGAGAGTTGGGCGTGTTCTCAGAATAAGAAAGGCTTGGACATAAGGGAGTTCTAATAACTTGTTGCCAGCTTGACAAAAATCATACAAGTTCCTGAGAATGCAGGGGTCAAATGTTCCTTGCTGAGGCCAAGGCTTGCCGATAAGCGGGTAGGTTGGTCAGACCTCCTGGCAGTAAAAAGTTAGTTGTTTAGTTTTTAGGGTACCTTTAATTTTTAGAGTACGTAAATTGGAAATTAGGCATTGTAAAGGCGTCTTTTGGGAGTTAGAAAATATGTTCCCCATGACTGATTCGGGCAAGAAAAAAACCGGAGGTCCAGAACAAGTCGTCACTTATTTGTGGTACCATGTGGCGACTACGGTTCCAAACCATAAACTCCAGTCGTCACTGAGAGATTTACGAATGGAGTCTACGTGGGGTCAGTAACAGTTTTGCCCATGAAAGCGCAAGGCTTTAAGGGAAGTGAGGCATTCTTTCAGTGTGGGCGGTCCCAAAAATCTCTGCTTTGGGCTATCCGAACCCAAAGAACGTGAGAGATTTTGTGGACACAGGTTTGCCCAGAAAGAACCCTGCCCTGGGCGGTCCTAAGGACGTGAAAATGCACAGACCCACGCAGACAGGGAGAACATTCCACTGGGGCTGCCCAGTGCGAAAAGTTCCCCGGGGAGTGCTCACCTGAAATCAGTCTGGCCGATGCGGAGTGCAGGCGGCTGGCGACAAGAACATCTCGGGAGAGGAAAAAGCTCCGGATTAATCCAGGATGTTATCTGGTTATCGGCTAGAAGACTTTGGGTATGTGGCCCAAGAGTCAGTTGCCTGCCGATCGAGTCACGGCACCAAATGATAGAGTTATTTCCAAAAGATGAAAAATATTAACAAAAGATGAGAAATATAAAATAAAAGCGGCCTTTATTCTGAGAACACGGAGAGAGATGACCGGCAACCCCACTGCTGGCGTCCGGCGATCTCTCCGGCGGACACGTGGCGTGGGGGCCTGTAAATAGCCTTGGTTTGGGGTGGAACCTAAGGCGGGCATTAGGGATACACAGGTAGCCCATTGGTCCTAGGTTTGGCACCATATGTAAATTCCCAGGGGCGGGAAGATGGCATCACAGGTAACTTCCTAGGGGCAGGGCAAGATGGGGCTTCCTGCTTCCGGTTGTGGCTTTCCTGGCTACAGTGTCCTGTCTGGGCCAAAACCTGTCACTTACATGTACTGTAGACATCTGGGAGATTTTACCGCACAATTTTGTTACCTATAAAAAAGCCCTCTTTGTTAAATATGTAGTGGCCTGCCACAGCACCCTGGAACAAAAAGCAGTGTGCCATCCAGATAAAGCCTGCTCTCTGATCTGGAATGCCAGAATCATATTTTCCTCTTGCCACCCCAACTGCATAACCTGAGGTAAAGAGACTTCCCAGTATGGCCAGCTGTTCTCTTTGTAACTCTGTTGGCCCCAGTGTTAGATAAAAATTGCAAAAGTTTGAGAGATTTTTTTTAAAAAGCCCTTCAGTCAGTTATTAGAGGTTACTTAAAAGATATTTGACAACCGAGAAGACCTTAAAGACCAGGCTTAAGAGGTTTCTGTTGGGCAGAAAGACTACACTGGTTGTTGCGAGCCATCCAATTGATTCCAGTCCCTGTGACTAAAAGCAAATGTGAAAATTTCTAGGAGCCACAGAATCCGAAGTTTGGGACCCTGGCAGAGGCCTGTTGCCTATCTTTCCAAGAGACTTGATTCTGTGGCAACCAGATGGCCACCCTGTCTGTGGTGATTTCCTCAATGGCCCTCCTGGTAAAGGAGGCTTAAAAATTGACTTTTGGACAAAACTCTTAGTTGTTTCCTCTTATTCACTAGAAACTCTCATCAAGGCTCTGCTGGACTGATGGCTGCCCAGCTTGAGTCATACATTTTCAGGCATTACTTCTGACAGCTTTGAATCCAGCTTCTTTGCTGCTTGACAATGACCCTAAAGTTTAAAGTGCACCTCTCCATGAGTGTGCTGATCTCCTTCAAATGCAGCAAAATCTACAGGCTGATTTTACTGACCAGCCTTTGGGAAATGCTGATAACTACTTCACTGATGGGAGTAGTTTCATCCAGGATGGCAAATGAGTGGCTGAAGCAGCAGTGACCACCAAAAAAGAGGTGCTCTGGGTTAAGCAGTTAGAGCCTGGCACCTCAGCCCAAAAGGCTGAGCTCATTGCTTTGACCAAAGCATTATCTATACTGACAGAAGATATGCTTTTGCTACTGCACATGTTCATGGAGCCATTTATCAAGAATGGTGCTTACTGACTTTTGGGGTCAAAAGATTAAAAATGTTCCCCAAATTTGAACTTGTTGGCTGTCATCTAGATGCCAAGGAGAGTGGCTATTATCCACTATATAGCCCATTGGGCATAAGATGATCTTGTTATATGGGGAAATAATTTGACAGATACCACCACCCAAAAGACAGCCATTCAGCTGCAAAATCAGTGGGGATTGAGATAAGCTTGACATTACTGCTGATCCCACCTACTTTCTTTGTCAGAGCCTATTTACACTTAAAAAGACTTGCATCTGATAGCTCAACTTCTGAGTGATCCCTGGGGGCTAATATCCAACTAGCCCAGTCTGTGAGCCTCAGACGCCTCAGTGCCAAGTGGTGAACCCCCCCAAAAAAGACAACAAATACAAACCACTCATTATCGTGGGACTATGCCTAAAAAACACTGGGAGATAGACTTTACAGAAATAAAAAAGCCTGGACCTCAAAGATATAAGTATTTACTTATAATGGTTGATATTTTTACTGGATGGGTAAAAGCTTTTCTTACTAAGTCTGAGTCAGCTCTGATAACAGTTTCCACAATTTGGCCTCTCTTTTATATGTGGGGTCCCACAATAGCCTGGCTTTTATAGCCTAGTAACTCAAATTAACCTAAGCTTTGCAGATCAATTGGAAACTCCATTGTGCTTACCAGCCTCAGAGTTCAGGACAAGTAAAAAAGATAAGTCAGATTTTAAAGACAGTAATTACTAATGGCTTTGAAAACTGGCAAGAACTGGGTGGGTCTCTTTCCCTCTGCCCTTTTTCATGTGCAATGTACCCCCTATGTTACAGGTATTTCCTCTTATGAGGCTTTGCATGAGAGACATCTTCCTCTTATCCTTAAGATTTCTAAAATTATAGCTGATTTAACTAATCAAGATCTTATTAAGTCCCCCACAGACTTTTCAGCTAGATCTGACTTCCATCCACCAGTTATTTCACTGCTGCCCACTGTGAGCTGGAGAGCCTGAACACCTAGACACCCGTCCTCATCAAGCAACATCACCGTGAATCTCTTGAGCCACAATGAACTGTAAAAGTAGCCGAAAGCCTGCCAGGATTCATTGTTCCCACTGCAAGCAGACCCTGGCTTCCAAAGGCAATCAGCCTGCAGATAAGTAAACTGTCATTTCTTCCAAGGACTCTTTAAAGCTTAAGATTGCCAAATGTAACTGGTAATCTTGTGTTCTCCTTTATAGAGACCCGAGGAGACCTCTGTCTGACTTTAAAAAATAGTTACTTGTATGATAAAACAGAGTAAATGTAAATGTTGGTTTTCTTTCTCCTTTTGGTTAGCAGTTTTAATAATGACAGCAGTAAGACCTTTGTTAATCCTCCTATTGGGCCTTGTATTGTAAACAAGTTGATAAACTATTGCAAAGATCTTAAAAGCTTGTGATTTTAAAGACACACACAAGGTTATAAGCAGATGCTTATGAGTCAATGATTTGACTCACTGACTAAAATCAGTGGGGAATGTTGTACACTGGAAAAACAGCTTTGTTATATGTATATTATACCAAAACCTGTAATGTGGCCTTACTGTATATATGTTTTCCTTTTCCTTCTGGGTGAGCTAATTGATATGTTAATCAATGCTCTCCTCTGTAAAGAATTGTAAAATCTTACCTAATTGATATGTTAACCATTGTTGCCCTCCAAAAATAACAGACGTGGTGCTAAAATAAGCTAACAAAGGCTGTTAATTACTGCTAGACTTTTCTATTCTCTGCTGAGGAAAACAGGATTTCTTCTTATCTAAACTTTCTTGTTTGCAGGGAAACTTGCTTGTTAGCACAACCCTTAACTGATCTTGCTCTTCCCAAGAAATGTAATCTCACCATGTTCCTCTTCTGTAGGAAGGCCTGAGAGAGGAGGGTGCTGAATTTGATTTTCCAAACCACCCCACAGGCAGCTGGAAGTTTCAGTTTTTGCAGCCCTTTCCCAAATACATCATTCTGCAGATCAAGGCCCAAGAAGCAGCAGCTGGGGCCACAGGAACCCCATTTTAACAGACAGAAATAAGAGTAGATGAAGGGTAGGGACAGCACCACCAACCCAGTTTTCTTAGCTCCAGTGGCCCCAAGAAAACCTGCACCTCCCCTGGTGCAGATAAGAAGGGCTGCCTCACCCAGAGCTTGACAGAGGAGGGAACTGGCTGCATCAAAGAACAGGCAGGCCTCTCACCCATGTTAAATGCAGGCTCCTGGGAGTGGGTTCAAGTATCTCTTTTTCCAAACCATATTTCTAAGAGCCTCCTCAAGTGGTTTTTCCCTTGCCTTTGCTCCCTCCACATCTCCAACCCCCCAACAGGCTTATGACCTTGGTGTCTTTAGATGCTAATGCCAGGGAGAGGGGCAATGAGAAATGGGGACACATCTGGATCCTTTTCCTGAGCAGGGCTGTTGCTCAGAGGGCAGGCACTTCAGGGCTTTAACTGCAGTTTTCAGCCTCTGCCACTGAGCCAGGAGAACCTCTCTGCAGGCAGAGGCGCCAAGTGCTATACTCTCTCCACTCCACAGTCTATGACCAGGTGCAATTCCTCAGGATTAGAGGCCACTTTCACTCTAAAGAATGTCTTTTTGCCTCACTCTTGCAGAGTTGCCACCCTGCACACTGCTCTCTGCCTTCGCAGAGGAAGGCTGATCCCCAGGGAAGTTGTACCAGCCTACTTCTAAGAACCCCTCATGCCACAGCCTTGCTTGATGACTGCTTTTGAAGGAGTGAAGGTCCCCTCTAGCTACACACTTGAGGAACACCTGCTGCAGAGTCCATTGGACTTTGCCATCATCCACTTCATTAATTCACATGGAGAAAGGTATCACTTGAATAGTATGTGAAGTCTGCCAAATGACTGGTATTTGGCTGCACTCTTGAGAGACAGGTGATCCACTCTGCATGTGGTGATGTGAGTACACTGGGCCAATCATCAAGACAGCCGGATCATCCTCCATGTGTGCCCCCTGCATCGTACCATGACCGCCCAAAAATGAACTGAACTATATGAACCAAAAAGAAGAGCTGACCACAGGTAGCCTTCAAAGGGTGCTTCTGTGGCCTGCTGTAGTGGTGAAGCCTATAATGCAGCACTTGGAAGGCTGAGGCAGAAGGATTGCTAGGCTATAAAGTGAGTTCAAGGCAAACCTGCACTACTTGGCAATACTCTGTCTCAAAAAACCACACCAGAACAAAAGGGGTGCTTCTGCAATCTTTTTGTTGGCCTAGGAAGTCCAGTTTGGTTTTATTCTTACCATGAGCAAGTAAAAATTGAAAGGTTTTGGCCCAGACAGGACACTGTAGCCAGGAAAGCCACAACCGGAAGCAGGAAGCTCCATCTTGCCCTGCCCCTAGGAAGTTACCTGTGATGCCATCTTCCCGCCCCTGGGAATTTACATATGGCGCCAAACCTAGGACCAATGGGCTACCTGTGTATCCCTAATGCCCGCCTTAGGTTCCACCCCAAACCGAGGCTATTTACAGGCCCCCACACCGCGTGTCCGCCGGAGAGATCACTGGACGCCAGCGGTGGGGTTGCCGGTCATCTCTCTCCGTGTTCTCAGAATAAAGGCCGCTTTTTATTTTATATTTCTCATCTTTTGTTAATATTTTTCATCTTTTGGAAATAACTCTATCAAAAATAACTTCACCGACGGAGTTTGGTATCTTGTTGGCATTAAATGTTCACAAAATCTAATAGCTCTGGGAGACCAAGAGACAGGACTTTGGGCTTGTTTCAACCTGGCCCTCAACTTTGATGCCTTTCAGTCTCATGCAGTCCTAAAATGGGTAAACAGTTTCCCTTTCAAAGCTCAGAAAAAGGCTCAGACAGGTTAAGTACCGGTCAATTCCCAGCAAAACAGCCTGTAGAAGAAAACTTTGGTTCATGGAAACCTGTAAAATGGCAGGCGGCCCGGAAGTATTACTATTCAGGGTTAAATGAGTGGAGGCTCGGTTTGGGCCCTGCCTTACTGCAAAGCAAGCCTGGTGAGTGGCATCTCCAGGTTCAGCTCCAAATTGCAGCGCATCAGGTGTCCCAGACCCACGGGGTTAAGATCACGTGACACTGCTGGGTGGGGACTCTGCAGCCAGCCCACCCCACCCTGCCTGCTGGCGGGCGTGCACCTAGGGCCCTGTGCTGCCTTGCCCAGGCCTGTCTGGAGCTGGGGGCGCCTGGGGAGCGAAAGTGAGGCTTTGCAGGTTTGGTCCTAGCTGGTGAGTGTCAGAGGGAGGTGGGTGAAGCGGGGACTGCTGCTATCAGGAAGGGAAGGGAAGGGGCAGGGAAGAAGGAGGGACAGAGCAGAGCGAGGCCCCTCTGTCTGTTCCCGCGCTCTGTCGGGCTGGTCCCTTGCACCTGGCTTCTCTGAAGCTCTGGGTGCTGGAGCCGGGATCCTTTCCCCGCTGCTTCCAGTCTTACCGTGCCCACTTCACAAGCCAGTGCAGCCGCGGGGACGTGGGCTCAGCCCGCCCCCTAGGGGCCTGTAGTTTGAGCCCCAAGGATAGTGTTGACTGTAGAAAGCCCATTCCAGCTGGAGAAAATGGAGAGGGTCTGAAGCCAAGGTCATGCCTTTGTGCGGAGCCTTGTTACCCGGTGATCTCCCTCTGCTCACCCTGCGCGTCTCTGAGATGCTGATCTGCTGCAGGAAGAGCGGCCTTGTGTGTGCCAGCTGCCTCTGCCCTCCCGCATGGGGACTCGATCATGGTCATTTATGGGCAGCTTCCTCTGAGGCTGAGAGGTTTGATTCACTGAGGCTGCACTGGTTTCCATGGTTCCCTGACCATAGGAGCTGTGACTCTTGGCCCTAGCACCTGCAGGTAAGGAGCAGATGCCCATCCGAGGTTGCCAGCAGGGTGGGGGCAGTTTGGGCTGGGCTGGGCTAGGCGGAGGTGGGTGCTTCAGAGTGCCTCAGCTGAACTTGGTTCTGAATTTTCTCCTTACAAGGAAGCTTTGTAATTGGCCTTTCCTGCATGTGGTGTTTGAGCTCCAGGTGCTGACCTGAAACCCTTGTGGTTGTGATTTTGTTATGGTGCTCCCAAGTACAAGGTGGATGCTGTTTTCAGTGTTTCCCTACATCATTCTTTAATACATGCAGCCAACATGAATATCAGGCCCCACTCAGCAGATAAAGAGAAATGATGTGAGATTAGTTCAGTGTCTGCTGCTACCCTTGATTGTGCTGGGATTTGGATCTAGAAAGGATCATCCCAGGGATCATGTTGTTTCTCATCCCTCCTGCTTTGGGAAAGTGGGCAGTATAAACCTCTCTATGGCTTTAGACACCAGGTGTAGAATTAAATATGCATGGGTTGAACCATAGACATAGCATTTACAGAAACCATAAATTAGCTTACATACATCCTCCATGATATGCTGTCCTGTGATCGACATAAAATGAGTAGCAAATTATTTATAAGCTGATGCTCAATATTAGAGTCCTTTTAAAGTCAACAACAGCATAGTATTACAGTTGTAGAAGCTGAGACTGTGTTTACATTCAGCTCTGCTACTTGAGGATTGAATGACCATGGTGAACTACTGATGTGTCTCAAAGTCTTGAGTCTTCACATCTTTAAATTGGTTTGCTTTCATAGAAGAAGAATTTACAACACCATAGGATCTGGCACGCATGGTATGCAGACAGGGTTACTGTCTATAAATCAGGCTCCTGTGTTTGGTATGTTTTTATTTTTTAGCTTGGATTAGTGTAGTGGTGGCTCAGCCTGGCACCTTCAGCTGCAGTTTTTCAGAGACATTCTATAAAATACTTGCTTCCATGTATGAACACTCACACCTGTGTGTATGTGCATATAAACATATGCATGCATACACACATGGCCTAAAACATCTACACTTGAAATATAAGAACTGAGTGAATTCTGTCTTGTTTAATGAGAACTCATTTCTTTTAGTATAACAATCACTAACTTTAAAGCTGGAGAAACTTCAAGGTGAATTTTAAAACTACTTTTGCAAACTAGGCAGAAGTATTGCCATAACACCTAAGAGTTGCAAAGTAAAGAAAATGAATTGACTGTGCTACTTATTTTCCTATGAGATTCTTAGAAACTAGAATATGATCTGCGAAACTGTTACAAATATCAACTGGAGTCTTAGTTAAGCACGTCTGTATTGACTGTCTTCTCTGATGTGGTTTTATGGATGTTGGTAAATGCAAAAATAAGTCATCCAGTGAATCATTTCCAAAATACAATGTTGATGTAGAATAACATGTTTTAAACATCTGTTCAGGGCTTAGCCACAGTGTTTGTTTAAAAAAAGAAGATGCTGTAAGACCCATATTTATAAAAAAGAATCTGTTATGTGGAAAACCAACCAAATGCTCATCAATAAGAGATGGTTAAACTGTAGCATGCACAGATGCTCCTGGGTTTACAAGAGGTGTTATATCTGAATAAACCCATTTTGAGTTGGAAATATTATATCAGGAGTGCATTTGAGGTTTGGGGTAGAGCCTAGAGAGAGATAGAATGTGTCTCACTTTTGTGAGATTCTGGCTTTGATCCTCAGCACCCTTCTTGTGCACCCATGCACACTCATGCACACACACACACACACACACACACACACACACACACACAGATTCACTGCTTCACGTGCCCTATCAGAGATCTTACCTTAGCAACCTAGAGCTCTGTAGCACATTCCTTTTTCTCCTTTGCAGTCGCTTGACTGACTAGGATTGTAGTTTACAACCAACCTTTGAAGGAGACGCAGTATCTTACCCCATATTGGTAGTCTAGGGAAAAGCTGTAAGTACAGTTTCTACTGAATGCATGTACCTTTTGTACCACTGTAGGGTTGCAAATCATAAATGATGCCATCTAGAGTTGGAGACCATCTGTCTTCAGAGTGGAGTGAATATGCAGCTATTGAAACAACATGTTATTTATATAGGAATGCAAAATGGACCACTGAGATACCTTCTCCTCCAGGGCAAGAATTTTGTCTGTTCTGATCACCCTGTAGGGGCTCCTCGAGCAATACTTACTACTCAGTGGGTGCTCAGTAAATGATAGTTTTAATGGTTGGATGAGTGAATGTTGTTCATTTTGAGGCAAAGCAAAGTATTGGAAAATGGATATAGTCACTGCTTATGCCTTTCTTCCTGTTTCCCTTTTTTCTTTTCCTTGTCCTTTTCATTTTCCTTTTTCTCAGTGCCAGGAATTGAACCCAGGGCCTGGTGCATGCTTGCCAGGTTCTGTACACCTGACCTCTGGGCTATATGCACACCCCACCATGTGTGTGCTTAACCCAGTGTCTTAGTTACTTTTTACTCGTTGCTGAGATAAAATACCTGAAGCCCAAATTTGGGAAAGGAAAGGTTTATTTCTTACAGTTTTTGGAGATTTCAGTCCACACTCAGTTGACTCCAAGGCAGGCAGGCATGGCTGGGCTTCATGGCAGCTGCAAACAGTAAACAGGGACAGGCAAAGAGCAAGACACACCTTCTTCCTGCCATTACATCACATCCTGGCTCCACCCCTTTGTGGGTGGAGCACTGACACCATCAATCCAAGCACCAGACAATGAACGAATAACAAATGCACAATTCAAACTCACGAGGCCTGGGGGACACAGACATAAACCATGACACTGAGTGTGTGTAGTCAACATCTGTATACATAGAAGACATTAGCTGGCTTTGGGGAGGAACTGGAGGATGGGGACTGAGGTAGTGAAAGGTAAGTAGGGTTTCCTTTTGTTTTCTTTTATACTATAGCACACTGTCTGCATGGACTAATTAAATATAAATTTAATAGATTCTGACTGATGTGAGTTTGGAATTCCACTCCCCTTTGCTACGTACTTCTCACTGTCTTGGTGAAGCACCTATAGCCTTCTGAGAGAATAATAATAGTGTTGAGGGAGCAGCGTGGAGTCTGTCTGCTGCATGGAATTCCTGGGTGATGAACACTGCATCACCTGCCTGTGGGTGCCCATGAGAGAGCTCTTGCTGATGTCATCTGGGCCCTGTTTCCATGACCTCTGCACTATATGCAGAGCATAAGCCTTCTCAGGAGCTCTGTGTAAGTCTCAGGAGGAATCCATGGCTGTAGTATGAGTCACTGGTGAATTTATAATTTCCTCCCTGTCGAGGCCAGTCTCAAAGTAGATAATGTTCATGTCCACATGGGTGCTCCCTCTCTTTGAGACTCATTTGACAGGTACTTTCAAAGTTCTGATCTCTTACAGTCAAGGCCATTTTGACAAGTGGGCTACAGAGTGCAGGAGGGCCCATGACAGTATAGGCAGGGAAGAGTTCTGTGGATGTTGACTTCCTAAATGTACTTCAGTATCACAGGTGTCCCACGTTTTAATTTTTTTTTCTTTTGTACCAGGGATTGAACTCACGACCTTGCATTTGCCAAGCAGACACTTAACGTCGCTGAAATAAACTCATAGCCCCCAAAAGTGTTAATATTAGGCCATATTTTCATTCTCTCTCTGTGTTTTGCTGTGTTTGATGACACCACTTAAATTGTGGACATTGTGCCACTTTCCTGTTACCTATTTTTTTCCAATTTTTATATTTTTTCCAAGTTACTGGTAATTTTGGGATAGACATCAACTTGGTTCCTTATGGATTCTTCAAGTGCAACATAGGAGGCTAGTAATATTTTTATATATTTTTAAGTTGTCTTTAAACTTTTAATGCATGTCCCTTTCTAAGACTTGGGTGTTCATTTCCTTCATCTTTGACTATCCTGGTAAACTGAAGGTAGCATCCAGTTTCTATTGCAGACTCCACAGACACTGATCCTTCTGTACTTAGACAGGATTAGCATAAATAGCAGTAAAGGTAAAGGTGTTGCCTATTCCATGATGTACATACAGGAGTTTATAAGTATAAATTACACTATGTTAGTTATTTAATCTACAGAATCCCATTAGGTTTGCATTGTTTGTAACCCACTATAACAATAACATTAATCATACTACTTTTTCTTTAATATTTCTATTTTCTTTCTCGCTTCCCTCCCTTCCTTGTTTCCTTCCTTTCTTGAGGTGATAAGGATCAAACCCAGGGCCCTAGACAATTACTCTAGACAATTATGCTAAATAGTTATGCTTCTAGACAATTACTCTACCTCAGAGAGACATTAGTAGTAAAAGAAGAAGAAAGAAGAAAAAACAAGACCACTCATAATCATGTCTTAACACAGGTTAGACAAGAGTATATTGGAGACCACAAAAATGACCAAATTCCCTCCCCTCCTGGGTCATGTGAGTGCCCACTGCTCCTCCACCTCTTGTAGTTATGGCATTGGTTTGTTGTTCTGGTATTAAGACTTAGTAGGACACACAGTCATCAAGTTATGTCTCCTTCAGACATAGTCCAAGGCAAAGCCCCGCTTCTTTGAATGCTTTCCCAGTCCACCCAAGTTACAGACATGTGTCAGAGCCTTGCCCTCTCACTGAGTTCAGCATGTTGTGCCTTCTCCCCTCTGAAATGCCCAGAGTTCAGCCAAGGTTGTGGCATTTGTGATTTGGTTATGGACGGATAGAACTTTCCCAGAGTCTTACATAGTAAAGGAAATACAGCATTTTATAATCAAATGGGAACTCACATTATAGAGAACCTGGAAAAAGCACAAAGATGCCGAGAACAAAATTATTGTTTCTTGATAACCCCATAATCTAGGAACAGTCATAGTGCACATTCACGGGTAGCTCAAGGGTCTGTATCTGTATACCAATGATGGTGAAGCTATAGAATGCATGTTACTTGTTTTTCTTTTAAGACAAAAGATATGAATGTATGAGTTTTTTTTCCTAACCTAAAACCTTAGTATTCAGATTTAATTTCAGTGTTAGCACTTCCCAATAAATAAGTGGGTTTTGCCATTGTTCATCTGTATCTACACCTGCTTTTCCAGCTCACTCTGTTATGTACTAATGTCCTCTCTGGATAGTGTTTGTTGTTTTCGGAGGTTGTTTTGTCTTGTTTTGTTGAGACCAGTTCTTGCTATGCAGTTCAGGCTGGCCTTGAACTCATGGTGAGTCTCCTGCTTCTGCCTCTCTGCCATACTGGCAGAGTGCCACTGCTCAACCCAGCCCCTGTATAGTTTTGAATCCTGCTGTGTTTGTTTACTATATTATGAATATTTTCTTATCTGCTCTTTGTTAAGTATATTTCTAAATGTTAAACAGTATCTTCTTGAGACTTAAGATAACTGTTCATGAATTGCTCTATCCACATTGATCATTTTCAGACATTGTTTTTTTAAACAAATGTTTCTAGAAAAGTCTGTACATTCAAAAATTCTTGACTGAAAAATAATCAGGCAGTAACACTCACAGACTAAGCATAATCTGGGACTCTGTGGGCATTTGCTGCACTGTGGGGAGTTGGCCACAGCTCCCTACACATTTATTTCTGTCCTTCTTACAGCAGAAGAGAGATAGCCTTTTACTAACAGGGCTGCCTTTACAGTCACTATGTGGAGGGCGGGAGAGGGACAGTTGCCGGGGAGTCAACAAGGATTGTGCACGAGGCCACACCCTCATGCATGTGTAGGAACTAAAGCTTCTAGAAGACATACCTTCTGGACAGTGCCTACCAAGCAGTTTTGTGAAAAACCCCTCAAGTAAGCATTTGTGAATCAATAGATGATAATACAACAACTAACATTATAAAATTTTTTTAATAAAATAAAATACCTTCTCCCCAAAACAAATACAAACACTTATAATCCCTTACATTATACACTTGTGTTTGTGTTCCTGTCCTGCAAACATTTCTTGAGGATCTGTCTTTGCTGGGCACTGTCATAGGCACTGGAGTTTACATTATGGAGCATGAAATAAACCCAAAGAAATGTAAGATGCCAATGAGTAATAAAACCACAGTGCAAAGTAATAAAGCAGAGAGAGGGGCAGAGAATAAAGACCTTTTTGTTATTTTAGATAAAGTCTATTAGCAAATATAAGTTAAGATGTCTCTCTGGTTCATTGTGATGGTTGATCCTAAATGTTCTTGTAGCTTCAATATTGTGAGCATCTGAGTAGATGCCCCTTTGGGTGCTCTCTGAATTTTCTTCTGAGCACATTTTTGTATGCTATTGATGTAGGGGAATGAAATTCTTAGCGTATTAAATGTCCGGTATGAGTTGGTGTTCTCTAAAACTGAAGAATGAATTTTAGGAACAACAGTGGTGAGGAGCAGTATATATTTATTGAGAGAAAGAGGGCTTCTGAGAGTTAGAAGGGGTCTTGACTGGGTTGCCAAAGGCTCTCGTCTTTTTAGGGACTTTTATAGAGCAAAACAACGAGGCGAGAGGGGTCCAAGATGGGGAAAGCACAGAAACGTCCTGCTGTCTATATCAACCAACACCTTTTCTGGGGTCCGATGAGCGTTGGCATCGGGCGCCTTAACCTGGGGTTGGGTTCATCCCCCATTGCCAGTTCTGCTTACCAAAAGTGGCCCACTAGGCACTCGCATTCCATGCCTGGCTCCACGCGGGGGGTGGGGGAGGGGTAACACTCAAGGGTGTATGGACAAACGAACGACAGATGGGGCCCGAGGTCACAGCCATCGCTATTGTCCTTGCGGTAGTAGTGCCAGGAGTGCCGAGGAGGTCATGGGAGAGCGGGTCATGGCACACCCGATGACGCCTGCTCGCAAGGTTGACAGCACCTTGGCCCGCAGTCCCGACCTGCCCCCAACACCTGTCGGCCACCGGCCCGGAACACCTCACGGAACACCGAGACACCTAGACCGACACCACCCACCCGACCTGCCCACCCACCAACCAGCAGGACTAAGACAACGCAACCCGCCCCCCCTTTCCTCCCTCGTCCTTCAGACCCTGTTCCATCCCCCAAAAAATGGGGGGCGAGGGGGGAGAGCGAGGGGAGCGGGATAAGGAGGCGAGCCGGAGGAGGAGATGGAGGAGCGGGAGTAGGAAGGCAGAGGGAGCGAAGGAGGAGAGAGAGAGAGAGAGCCGGAGAGGGGGAACGCGCCCCACAGAGCTGGTGGTGGACTGGGGAGCAGAAGGAGATGAGCAGTAGACGGAGACAGGGCTACCCAGGAGGTCACAGAGCCAGAGGGACATTGGGTTCAAACCAACTCCCCCCTCCCCCGCCAAGCGGCAATGTGGGGGAGATGACCGGGCATGGCACGCCACCCGGAGCGGCAGGGGCTCAGGATGGGTGAGGACAACAAAGACGCCGCCCCACCTCTCAGCCCAGCCGCCAGGCCCCCTCGGCCCTCACACCAATCTGCCTCCGGAGGAGGGGAGGCGGGGCCTCGGGACCCACTGACAGCGCTGGGAGCACTCAGAGATACTCCACGTAGCCCTGGGTATCTGCACGCAAAGTCGAATGCCACCTAGGCGTCCTGTAGGCTCGGGGTGCGGTCTCACAAGCGCCATGGGCATCGATGCAAGATCAAACCCAACGGAGGGGGCACGCATTTCTCCGGACCCGCGTGAGTCTCGAGGGACCCCCATGTTACAGCCCACCAGCAGCAGAGGCTCTCCTCCCCGCCTCTGTTGCCTTGTCTGCTGGGTTGGCTGCACTTCGGGGCACGAGCGGGAGGTTGTGGGGAGGAGGTCGGCTGGCTGGCAGGCCAGCCCTCCCCCTCCCCCTCCCCCCGGCTCCTTCTCTCACCCCCACACCGCCGTCCTGGTCCGCTTTCCAATGCCTCTTCTGCCCCTGTGTGTTCCTTCAGTGCTTCCGCCCTCCAGCTCCAGGTACTTAGCTCATCCCGGCGCAGCGGTTTAAAGACCGCCTGGGGGTGGACACTCCGCAGGCCTTAGGGTCTGGGCGGCGGGGGGGAGGGGGTGTCGCGCTCGGGGCTCTTGGGGGCCCTTGTTGAACAAGTGTTGGACTTTATCATGAGCTTGGACTTTAACCCAAGTGCGACTATTGAGATAATCACGTGATTTTTGTTTTGGCTCTGTTGATGTGGTGTATTACATTTATTGATTTGCATCTGTTAAACCATCTCTGCATTCTTGGAATAGATCCCATTTGGTCATGCTGTATAATCTTCTTGATGATTTGCCGCATTTCATTTGCCAATATTTTATTGAGAATCTTTTCAATGTTCACTAGTAAGATTGGCCTATTGTTCTCCTCTTTGATTGGCTCTTTCTCTGGTTTTGATATCAGAGTGATATTTGCCTCCAGGAATGAGTTAGAGAGCATTGCTTCTCTTTCAATTTCATTGAAGATTTTAAAGAGTATTGGCATCAAATCTCCTCTTGTAGAATTCTACCATGAATCCATCAGGACCTGGACTTTCCTTTGTTGCTAAGTTTTTAATCATGTTTTCACTTTCAATAACTGGTATTGGATTATTCAAAATTGTTATATCTTCTTCTCTGAGCTTTGGTAGTTCATAGGTTTCTAGAAATCTGTCTGTTTCCTCTGTTTTTTTCCACCCTATGTGAGCAGATATTTTCAAAATGGGTGTCCATGATCTTTTGAATTTCCATGGAATCTGTAGTCATTTCCCTCTTTTCAGTCCTTATTGCATGAATTTGTTTTTTCTTCCTTTTTCTTGATAAGGTTGACTAGAAGTTTACCAATTTTGTTTATTCTCTCAAAATACCAGCTCTTTCATTCATTATTTCTTTGTATATTTTAAAGTTTCAATTACATTAATTTCTGTTCTGACCTTTAGAATTTTCTGTCTTCTATGAGCTTTGAGTTTGACTTGCTCTTCTTTTTTCTTGAAGTTTGAGATGCAACATTAGTTTGCTCATTTGTTCTTGTTCTGTTTTCTTGATGTGACAATTTGTTGCTATATACTTCCCTCTAGGCACCACTTTCATTGCATCCCACAGGTTACAGTATGTTGTGTTCACATTTTCATTGAATTGTAAGGGTTGCTTTATTTCTTCTTTAATTTCTCCTGTAATCCACTGGTTTTTCAGAAGGTTGTTATTTAATTTCCATGTATTTATGTAGATTTTGCAATTTTTTGCCATTTCCAATTTCAGTGTGCTATGATCTGATATTATGCATGGGATAATGTCAGTTACTTTACATTTACTTAAGAATGTTTTATGGCTTAATATATGGTCTATTTTGCAGAATGCCCCATGTGCAGCTCAGAAGAATGTGTATTTTTATGTGGTTGGGTGGAACACTATCTTAAAATCTACCATGTCCATTTGCTCACAGACTTGATTCAGTTCTATTATTTCTTTGTGACTTTTTGTCTAGTTGATCTATCTTTTTGTGGCAGTATGGTATTAACGTCCCCTATTACAATTGTGTTCTTGTGTATTTGATTTTTCATGTCCATTATTATTTGTCTTATATAGAGGGGTGCTCCTGTATTTGATGCACACCCATATACACACAAACACACACACACACTTCTTCTTCTTGAAGTTTTCCACTAACAAGTATGTAGCGACCTTTTATATATATTTTAATGATCTAAGGTTTGGAAGTTCATATTGTTTGCAAACGGAATAGCTACCCTTGCTTTTTTTCTGGGTTGCTGTTATGTGGAATACCATTTTCTATTCTTTGAGTTTTAATCTTTGAGCTTCCTTTAGAATCAGATGTGTTTGTTGAATACAGCATATTGTGGGGTCCTGTTGCTTGGTCCCTTCTGTCAACCTATTTTGTTTGATAGGTGAATTGAGGCCACTTACATTTATGGATATAACTGGTATGTACTGCCTCAACTTTGTCATGTTATGTCCCTATCATTTGTTTCTGCTCCCCGCCCCTTTGTTTGATTACTTGCCCAGTTGTTTGTTTCTGTTGTTTTTCTGGACATTGTGGTCCCTTTTATTCCTAAAGTGTATGTTTCAGTACTCTTTCTAGGGTTGGTTTGGTGCACATGAATTTCTTCAGTTGTTCTTTGTCATGGAAGTATCTCATTTCTCCATTAAATTTGAAAGACAGTTTTTCTGGGTTCATCAGTCCAGATTGAAAGTTGTTTTCTTTCAGGGCTTGAAATATTTCACTCCCAGCTCCTCTTGACTTGAGGGTTTGTGCTGAAAAGTCTTCCATGATTCTGATGTGCTTTGATAGGTGAGTTGTGTCTTTTCTCTAACAGATTTTAGTATACTACATTTATTTTGTATGTCTGAGATCCAAATTATTATATGTCTGAGTGTAGATTTGTGTTGGTTGTGACTGTTTGGCATTTATTTATCTCACTTATCTATATATCAGATTTTTACTCCTGCATCTTCATTGATATCTACTAGTTTTATATTGTTTCTGTTGGAGTCATCTTGAAGCTGCTGGATTGTCATTTCATGCTGCCTTGTTTTTAAAATTTCTACTATTTCATGACCACTAACTGCAATCCTGTCCTCAACATCTGAAATTCTCTCTTCAGCTTCATTTAAACTATTTTGCCAGACTTCAATAGAAATTTTTGTTTCTTGGATGTCTCTGAATTTGTTTCTGCTTCTTTTCTGCATTGTCCATTCAAGATTTCAATCAATTTTGGAGACAGGGATTTTGAAAAGCGTCTTCATCTTAGGGACAAAGTACTGATCCAGAGGTAGAGCATACTTGAAAGAGGCAGGTTATTGGAAAAGCATATCTCCTTCTATGACTCTTCCTTGTCTTCTGCTTCCTGGATGCCAGGTCTCTGCCATGGTCTTTCTGCCTTGGAGCTAGCTGACCATGACTGAAACTGAGCCAATATAACCACACTCTCTTTTAAATTACAAGTGTTGGATATTGTGTTTCAGTGCAAGAAAGAGACTAGAACAAAAGATCCCAGAGGAAAAGAGTAGTAAATAAAGCACAATAGTTTATGGAAGTATCTAAACAAAGACAGGGTCTTACTTGTAATCACTCTTACCCCACTCAGTACTTCAGGGAATGAATTACAGTGCACTTTGACTCCGCATTGTGGTAATTAGGAAGATGTGCAATCCCACCTTTTGTAAATCTGTGTGCTTTTTAGTATTTTGATCCAGCAAAAGGATTCTGGGTGGGCACTAATGATACAGTAAGAAAAAAAAAAAAAAAAAAAAAAAACGCCTCATTTCATTATACCATGCATTGAAACCTAGGTAATTTCTATGACTTAAAAAGTTGTGTCTTCTCCCCATCAGTAAGAAAGTAATTCAAATGCAGCAAACAGTATCAGGATGTTCTCTAATATTCATTTATGATATCATATACTTGATAGCAAATCCTTTCTACAGATTGAACCCTTAATCCTAAAACTGCTTCCTTCTCTCCTACAAGCTTCTGGTGTCAGATTGTATTTGTCTGTGCTTTTTGATCCTCCTTTTATGTTTTTCACATAAATCTTCCCTTGCATCTAATAAATTTGCTCAACTGACTCATAGAATTCAAGACAATACTTAGATTTACAGTTATGGAGTTATAATCTTTTCATAAGGGTGATGATATTGATGGAAGATAAAAAATAATTATAGCTAAGAAAATATGTAGCATTTATTTGGAATTGAGCATAATACTAAAGCATTATATGATAGATTTATACCTCATCCCAAAGACATGGATTTATTATTCTACAAAAATATAATTTAATCTATTAAATAGAAAAAGATACAAACATAAGCGGTTAGCATAAATAGTGTAAATGTATTGCATAAAGCAATCACATTAAATTAATTTTCAATACTTACAATTGTATTTCGCATTACAGGATGCTATATATGTATAACACAACTCATAATTTAATATAGCAAAATATGAAGTATGTAAATAACCAATTTTTAATGCAAAATGGCATATTAGAAATCACTATTTCAAGTAAAATTCCAAGTTATTTTTAAGAAAAAGAATACATGAAATTTATTTAAACCCTTGGTATGATATCTAATATTAGTGTAAAGGTTGTTCTATGATATTAGTTTTATTTTTCTTTACTGTCTTTGATTTCTATAATCATAAGAAAAAGTGTTTAGTTTGAAATAAAAAAATCTATTTTATATTTACATTAAAGTACCATAAAATGTCCATACTAATAACTTTGATGAATTATTTTGGTAAAATATTTTCATAAATATAAAATATATGAATGGATGTTTAATGCAGTAAAATATTTTATAATTATTATTTTGATATTTAAAAGAGTATAATATTAATTTTTTGAATCCTTATTAGGAATTAATTACTAAATTAAACATTAATTTTTAATATGCAAATCTTTCTTAATTTTAAAAATGCTACAAGATAGGTTTTGTTTTTATTCCTGCTTACAGGCTTGCCTAAAACCACATAGGGTTTTAAAAAATCTATATCTGCATTCCCTTACCACAATGATATCATGTATTGAGCATCTCATTCTTAAAACAGTAAATATTGCTCATTATATTCGTAGTTATTGAGATTTCTAGGAAATAAATTCATTTTAAAGTTTTGCCAAAAATGATGACAATGTTTGAACATTTAGTATTTATGTGATTATAAAATGTTAAAGTGAAATCTTAATGATAATACAGTGATTGGATTTTTTATTCTCAAAGA